GGACTCAAGCTGCAGGTATCAGCCTGGGCTCCAAAGCACCTTTGAGGCTACAGCACAGCCCAGAAACACCTTCCTCTCCTCCAGCCAACTTCCAGTGCTCATTGACCAGCTCTGGGAAAGCACCCTAAGAGTTTGGCCATGTTCACTGCCTTCCCCAGGGCAAACCTCACTGAATATCCAGAATGGGCTAACATTCCTGAAACTTCACAGCCAGACAGCTTTCACCTTTCTGCAGAGTTTCATCAAAATCCCTCATTGGAGTAGAAGTGGTGTAAAAACTAGCTGCCCCATAAAAAATGAAGAATTTAAAAATATTTTCAGTATGCAGACGTCTTGCCAAAAGCACAGTAAAGAGCCCACCGTGAATACAGAAGAGAAATAAAAAATGTTTGCTCATTTCTAAATTTCCTGGAGTTTGCTTAATGTCAGCAGGCTCAGCTAAGAGCAGGAACATAAAACCCTGTGACAGCCATTGAACCCCCGACCCCAGCAGCAACTTTGCTCAGACTGCCTTTGGAACCACTCACAACATCAGCCTGCATCTTGTTACACTCCCTGCCACTGATGCAGTCCTGTGAATCTCTTCTCCCCTGGCCATTTTTAACTCTCTCAGGACAGAAATTCTTTTACTCTTACAGGAATATGAAGCAGGGCTGCTCTGTTTCTTTGGCAACATTTGGGGAGCAAGGTTTCGTCTTTTCAGCTTTTGTTTGAAGGAGTAAATATTTAGGAGAAGCAGAAGATAGCTTTCATCTGAAACAAGTTTGCACATGCTTGGAGCAGCAGGCAGGGAGAAGGAGACTGGAAAACAGGCTGCCATTTCCTTACCTGCCTGCATTTGGACTGCCTCTGACCCAGCGTGTGCGCATGCATCCTCACCCCGGGGCTGCTCCTTCACACCAGCACTTCCTTGTAAAACCCAACTCATCTGTTCAAAGCAATGACTGAAACACTGTCTATAAAATTATGGCATTTTTCCACTTGAAAAAAAAATAAATTAACACTTCATTTAAAAGTTATTTTTAAACCTACTTGGCTTGAAGCCACCTTTAGTCACAAGTGAAATGAATTCTTCTTTTCCTAGAATTCAATGCCTTCCTTTTCTAAAATAGACTAGTTTAAAAAAAGTAAACTCAGTAAATGCAGAGTTTACACTTCTGACTACACTGTTTTACCCTCTGACATATCAGCAGTTTGCTTTTCAACAAACCCAAACAAGTCTTTACTTTTTCTACTTCAGGGATTTGAGCAGTGCCAGAGCAGAACCACTGGATCTGGTCAGGGCACTGGCAGAGCATCACCACAGCCAGGAACACAGTTATGTCTGGGAGGGAACTGAAGCCCTTGCAGAAACATGGCTAGACTTGAAAAGAAAGCACCAGAGCTTTATTCCAGTGTGAGACACCTCCAGCTTCTGGCACTGCCCCTGCATTTACAGGGAAGAGCCAAGCACCAAACACATGAACTGAGAGCACTGCTGTCATACATGCAGGGAGAATGAGGATCCTGACTTCACTATGTTCCCATTTTCCAGGACTGTCTCAAGAGACAGGAGGACATCTGGACTCCTTAATGAAGTAGCTGATCTGGAATTTGGGTTTAGTAACACTAACTCCCCTTTAAATAAAATAAAAACTTTTTAAAAAATGGGGAGAGAAAAGAAAGACTTTAATTTAAGCCATTAATATGTCACCAAAAAGTATTTGAAGCACCAACAGGCAAACTGACCTGACAGGAAGAGTATTTTCCTTCTCTTTTCAGGGGGACTCTGCTTTTCCCAAAGAGAAAATGCCAGCTAAATTACACTGATTTTATATTCAGTGACCATTTCCAGGCTCAGCATTATCTGCACAGTGACAACTTCACTGAGATGTGAATATGGAGTTCATAGACTTTAGTTCTACACATTCTGTAAAGGGTATCAGCAAGAACAGCAATGCAAAATAATTAGAAATGCAAGAAATTTATAGTCACTATATGTAAAAAGGAATTTAAAGAGATTTTGGGTTTCCAAGTCAAAGTTTCTCAAGTCTGAGATCAGCGTTTAAGTGTTTGGTACTTTGAATCAAGTAGAAATTATTGGCTAACTCAGGGCTTAATGATGACAATGAAAAGGTGACTTTTTATATTAAAAAGTGGTACTTTAGGCTTTTGAGACTTTTCTGTTGCTTCTGTTTTATTGCTTGACTGCCAAGAGATTCAGAAACAAAATTTCCAAAGGTCCCAGCATCTATCTGCTCTTTAACCTAACAGTGTTAGAAGCCCATGGAGGTGGACTCTGGGAGAATGGTTCAGGTTTTGGTATTGTTTTCAAACAGCAGCAGCTGGAGGGCTGTTTTGAGGGGATTTGGTTTTTAAATGGGGGTAAAGAAGGTGCACAGGGTAAGCAGCAAATCCCCAGTGGTGGGTTAGGACAGTCAGAAGCTCTCAGCTCCTCTGTCTTCAGCAGCTGGGCTGAAGCACAGTGCTCTGCACAACCCTGGACAATTCTGCACTCATTCCCCATGCTAGGCTGTGGAGCTCAGCGTTAATATTAGCAAAATGCAGCTTGCCAACATGTGCTAGCTGAATGAGGTAGGTCTCCATTACCTCATTCCACACGACCCTTTTACAGATTTTATCCAACAAAGCTTCTGAAGATAAATATATCTTTAACCATGTGAGAAATCTCACTTACAGTAATGATTATGCAACAATAAAAAGTAAAAATAAAAATGATTAGTAGTCCGCTGACGATTATAAACCCTCTTCACTTCCCTTCCTCCCCCTTTTTCTTACAGACTAATTACTCCAATGTTTATTTTTACTTTTGTAAGTCCAAGACTGCAAAGCTAAAGGCAGAGGTATAAAAGAGGCCACAGTCTGAAGGGATGGGTGAGTCCAGGATTGTGACATGTGAACACAGGGCAGGATCCAGTGCAGGAACAGCACACTGGGCAGCTCTGGAGGAGGGTTCCAGCTCTGGGAGCAACCCAGGAAAGCTGGGCCAGGACAGGAAGGAAGGATCCTGCAGCTTTTCACCATAAAGTTGCATTAGAAGCTTTAAGACACTGCCATTGTCAATCTGCCTTTCCTCTCCCCCCTGACCTCTTCTTAGAAACTCTCTGGTCACCTCTCAGGTTTATCCATGTCAGTTCCCAGCTCCACTAGGTACAGAAATCTCAATACTGTGGGGTTTGAGTCTCTGCAGGCAGCTGCAGGTTGGTTCTATCTGTCCAGCTGGGATCAGGAATGATCTGTGTGGAGGAGGAGATGATGAGACACAAATCCTTACAAGGAACTGGGTCAAAGAGAAAGACCAGGATGGTTTCCTGGAGATTTCTTTTGGAGTTCTAGATGGCAATCCAGGCCAGATGGAGTTTCTGAACATACAGCAAGAACTGCCCTTGGCTCAGAGTGAAGGAAGAGCTAAGAGCTCCCAAATCCTCACATCTCACAGGCTTCTCCTCTCCCTGCTCATGGGTGTCCTGCTGGAATCTGTCAGCTGCTGCTGGTGCTGAGCTCCCTGGGGTGCCCCACAGCTCACAGCTCTGCAGAACAGAGCAGGTCCATGCAGCTCCTGCCCTTCACACTCAGTTTGGGCCAGCCCCAAGAGCTCAGTGTGTCCCATCCCTCCCCATTTCCCTTCACAGAGCATCTACAGTCTCCTCTGAGATCACAGCAGCATCCCCTGCAGCAGCAAAGTCTTAAGCCAGCATGTTGTAAAGAAACATTATAAACACCACCTTGACATTTTAGTGTACACAGTTAACATTTACATTTCACACCACCTCCTATGTAAAGTGCCTCTCTCCATGCCATCAATTCCCTAATTCTCTTAACCCCTCCACACCCAACACTAAGAGCACCTTTTCTCAGGCAGGCCAACAAAACAGAGTATTTTTGGTGCTTCTGAGCTCAGCCACTGTGGAGAGAGGAAACCAGTTCAAACCAGTTTAATCAGTTTTTGACCCACTGTGGTAAAAAAACTGGTTAAAAATACAAAAATTAGAAGCAGACAGAATTCCCCAACTGTCAAAATCTTTAAAACCCACCTGGGTGTTTCCCAAATATCCCAGAAAGCTTCCAGCTCATAAAGAGATGCTGCAGGCAATTTTCAAAGGCTGCTTTCAACATTTGCTCTGGAGCATCTTTTAATGCTCCAGATTCACCTTCCTAAGGGTTAATATACCAAAACAGGAAGGAGTGGGGGAAAAAAGTCACAAAAGCTGTATGACTCCTTTCTGAGGTATGACAAACTCTCTCTGCATCTTATTCCAAAGTGTGAGATGTGCAACTTCCATTCTTAAGCTCAGTAAAAATGGCATTAAAAAGTCCTAACCCTGGGAACTGCATGATTATTCGTTTATCAGATCAACATCAGCAAAACTGTCTTTTTATGTGCTGCTTACTTTCAAAAAAAACCCCTACCACGCATATTTCAGTTCTCCCTCTCCACACCCCACACCCTTCTGCTGCTGTCCAGCTGGAACACATCAAGGGTCTAGAAGCCAAGTCAAATGTTGACCCCACCCTCCTCCATCCATTTTAAGGCACCTTCAAAGCCAGTACACTGATCTAGTTCAGCTTAGCCAACAACGCCAGCAAATCTGTTATTTAAGACTTTAGTGCTGGGTTTTTATAACTGCCCATTAATACAAGCTTTGATGTATGGTCAAAAAAGCCAGCTGTAATGAGTTTCATCAGACTGTAGTAACCTTTCCTCAGAAGGTCTTTATTACTATACCTTCATCATCTTTGGGCCCAATACTTTTATAGAAGCATTCTTACTGAACCTCCTTAAAACCAGCTCAGCAACACTTAACACTCTTTCCCCAAAATTAAAACAAAGAGCCAGTTATAGTTTTTCTTGAAGATACTTTTGCACCCACATTTTAATGATATTTTACTGTTAAGAGCATGCAGGCAATAGCTCTGTGAACTGAAAGACAAACTAATTTTCATTACAAAGTCCTTCAGACAGGATACAAAAGGATTTTGTAAAAGGACAAACAACTTACTTTGTTGCTCCCCTTTGCAGGATGCAGCACAGAAGAAAGAGGGGAAAAAAAGAAATATTAGTTATATTTATTTTACATGCATTCAGCCTAACTTGTACAGTTCTGGAAGTGGCTCAAACCAAATGAGGAACTGACTCAGGGAACATTCACTGAATCCTGCAGTCAGACAGCTTCCAGGGGAACACAGGACATTCACAAAGGACTTAAATGTTCAGCAGGGCTGTTTTCCTCACTGCACAAACATTCTGACCCAGTGCAAACCAGGAGCAGCTCCTGGGAAGTCGCTGGACAAAAAGACAAGGGAGAAGAAAAGAAGGCCTGGAGTGATGGATGGGATGGGATGGGATGGGATGGGATGGGATGGGATGGGATGGG